CGGTTGATGGTAGAAACCCTGCATTACCCATAATAAGCAATATACCATAATTCCCATAGTTTAGGGTCCTTAAGGTATAATGCAGGATTTATATCATCAACCGTATGAAAACTCCAGTGCCTGAGGCGGGTATCGTGAGCAGCGATTGGAAAGCTGAAGCCTCTTGGCCTAAGTACACGACTCCCTGAATCGCCACATATACCTTAACCTACCGAAACCTACTTTGTTGTAGGGTCCCTAAGAATTCCATATTAGGGTTTGTAGTAAGAACCTACAAAAAGTAGGGTTTGGTAGGTTAAGCTAGTCATATATGGAGTTCTAATTGCGGATCCTATGGGGTGCATCTACTCCCTAAGCCCTCAATCCTAAGCCACTAAACCATTCAACTTTTTCTTCTTCGTTGCGTAGAAGGTTCTAGTCCTGTGCAAGAAACGAGACGGACCGAAAAGCGGCGAGGCCGCGGTCCTGGAAAAGCGGGAACTTACAGCCCTACATGCAAAGCGAAAAGACGGCGGGGCGAGACCTACGCCTCAGGCGTAAGGACTCGGACCGCAAAACTACAAGGGAAGCTGGTGCGGCATCGCCAAGCGACGGGGAGAGGCCAAAGAGAGCCAGCCCGAGGCAAGAGAGGAAAGAGCCCGCGGGGCGACCGCAGGGAGGCTAACGACAGTGCCAAAACCAAGCACGGCGACAGCCGATGTACCCACAGCGTGAGGTACGACACGGCGCAGAAGTTCCCAGAAGGCGCCAGGCAAGGGAACAGCGCACCACAGAGCAGCTCCAGCCTTAATCTGACGAAGCAAGTGGAGACAGGTGAGCAGTCTCCGCAGGAAAAGGATCCGCTGTGCCGCGATCTGCTCAAAGCATGTCAGGCATCCGAGTGTGGCGCTGGGAGAGGGGCGTTCCTCCTGGCGCAGAAAGGCAGAAAGTCTCCAAGTCTCAGCTGCCCACGGGTGTAGCGACTCAAGGGCAAGAAAGAGCTTCCAGCACCGCGCCCACGATGGCGGGAGACACCAGATGGCGGGAGGCACCGCACACCACCGGCAAGAGGGGGCGCAGAACGACGAGGCGCCAGGGGCCTCGTCGAAACAATAGACAGTGCAGAACCTTTCCGTTGGATGCGTCTGGTACCGAGCAGAAGCAGCCGCGGTGTCATCGGAAGAGAGCCGAACCGAGGTGGTGGGTGAACCAAAGTCCAAAGCTCCGGTGGAGGAAGCAACAGGAGCATGTGGTGAGTGCAAGACCTCAGGGCACGGGATCGTACTAGCCTCTTCGCCAGGGGGAAGAGTAGAGTAACCACCAACACGGCGGAAGGGCACAACAGGAGAGGAGCGAGTGCCCTCGGAGAAGCTCGGACCAGGGGCGATAGTGCGTAACTCAGCAGCGAGCTCCTCGTCCGTGCAGCAACGCCCCTCCTCGGCGGCACGACGCTGTGCCGCGGTAGCATTACACGGGCCTGCAACACGGAAAACCGGGGCCCTGGCATGGCCCTGTTTGCCGCGGCGTTTGGTGCCTGTACCATACTCATAGACAGGGCCCACACAGCACCGAAGCCCGTGCTCGCAGTCCGGTGAGTGCAAAAGATGGTACCGGAGACGCGCAGCATTATGGAATTCGACCATACACCACAGACAGATCGTCCCCAACGTGTACTGGGTGCACAGAGCAACGCGCCCATGAAGTCGATGGGCATGGGCCGCTAAGGCATGCGCCGAAGGGAGAGTCACACCACACTCCGGGCATATGTGAGGGGACGCGAGACCAATCACCCGCTTGGGTGGCGGACCGCCATGACTTCTCCACGCCCGATGGAGAGCCAGCAGCATAGTGCCGGACCGACTGATCCGGCGACAGGCCGAGAGGATCTCTTTGGTATGCCGGCGCACACAGAGAAGGGTAGGCTCGCCTGTCTGGAGTGCCGGTAGGCCACAGGCCGGCCAAACACGCCGCACCGCGTCAGCAAGGAGGGAAGACCATTCCCCGCCGCGATCCCAGCTGGCTTGGAACAATTCAAAGACCTCAGGGGAACGGCCCGAGGCAATGCGGCAGAGCAGGCGCACACGAGCGATAACCGTAGCACATTCAACATCAAGAACCCCTGTACAGGCTCGCAGTTGGACTGAGGCCACATGGTGCCCAGCATCCCAAGACCCGACGAGCTGGCGAAGGCATTTGTCGTAGAAACCATTCAGGGGTCCCCAGGCTCGTTCAGAACGAGCTAAAGTAGTGGCAAGGGAGGAGTACGCTGCAGGGAGGGTCCTTCCCTGCAGCCATACGGACTTGAGCATCCACGGCAACTTCTCAGAATGGACAAGTCCAGAGGCTTGAGTCCAGATAGAGTTGCCACGCGCGGCGGCGGCCTCGACATCCCGTCGGCCAGTGTCACGGCAGCGCTGCACAACCCCGAGGTACTTATATTCAGGGACTACCCTAATGCCTCTCCCATCACTGAGGGCAAGAAGGGGCTCAGGGGTTAAGAGATCCTTGCGGGCAACATTAGCCCCCGCTCCTTGCAGGTGAACGAGCGCTTCGGTCTTACCTGCTCCAAGGTTGACGCGGAACCGAAAGGCTTCGAAAACTTGGAGAACAATAGTGCAAAGGCGACGCAACTTCGAGACAGCCCAAGTGGCTCGGATGAAATCAACAAGCAGGCACAGGTCATCAGCCCATGCGATTTGAAGGGATGCATCAGGTCGGCCAAGGGCATCAGAGGAAGCGGCATGAACAATGTCTTCAGCCTTGAGCGCAAAATGGAGGCACTGTAAAATCACTGCAAACAAGGCTCCGAACAGGACATCGGCCAGTCCGTCCCCGGGCCGGGACCCTCGACCTGCCATGATAGCCTGGTGCTGGCCGACAAGGCGCCAGTACGAGCATTCAACGCAGTCACGCAGGAGAGCAATCTGGTCAGCGGGAACCCCGAGACCCGCTAGGACGCCATCCTGAATCAGGCCATGAACATGACGAGGCAGCTGCAGGCCCGCAAGAGCTGGTTCAAGGTCACGACCGTGGAAAAGCAAGGTTCGGTCTGCTTCATAGTAGGCGGCCTGAATATCGACAAACAAGGCAGCCCAGGACCGGCCATGAACGGAAGCCAAGTCGACAGCAGAGCGGAAGACAGTGAGGGCAAGGCCGGTGTCCACGCCTCGCCTACCCCCGAGCTGAGTCGGAAAGTAATGAGCGATAACTTCCTGACCCAGGGTGGCCCGAAGTTGGGAGTGCCACAACTTAGCCACTCCATTCAGCATGGCAATGGACCGGAAGTTGGCGGGAATGTGAGCTGGGCCTTTTTTGTGGAGAGCTCCCACAGTAGAAGCTTTAAAGTGAAGTGGCTCGGCCTCGCCCCAAGCGAGGTGAACCCACATAGGCCACAACCATCGGCCGGCGCGATCGGGGTGGGTTCGCCAGACCTCATTACGAATGTGGTCCGGGCCAGGGGCCTTGCCTCGGCGCTGGAGTCGACACATGTGTTCAACATCAAGAAGGGTGGGTAAGGCCGAAAGACAAACGCCACGCGGTTCAGCAGCCCAAAGAGAAAAGGCTGCACTCAATTGGGCATCCGACACCGGGCGGCCATCTTCCTGCTGCTGGAATTGTAGCTGGAGTTGCTCATCGATGTCAAACCCACTTGCGGCCCTAACATCACGTTTTTGCTTGGCACCTTTGGACGCCCAAGACAGCTTGGCCACCGCCTCGAGAGGGCGCCCGGTGGCATGCCAGTGATCGACTGCGCCGAGGAGCATGGATTCGAAGTAGGCCTGCTTATCAAGCCGTGCCTGTGCATGAGCCTGAGCTCGAAGCCGGAAACAAACGTGTGCAAAATGCGCCATCATCATGCGGACCTGATGAAGTTCCCAGGGGAGGGCTGGGGACTCCACTCGGCGGCGGCACCATGTCCGAAAGGCAACCAAACAGAGTTGCCGGTGATAGAGGGTGCGAAGCCGCCTAACCTCGGCCCGTGCATCACGAAGAGTTTCAAGAAGGCCGGCAGCAACTTCAGACAGATAAGGTTGCCGTTTTTGAAGAGGGGGCCGGGCAGGAAGGCAGCGGATCGCATGGGCGTGGGCAGCACAAAGTTGCTGAACTCTCTCCGCACTACTACCAGGTGTGGACTGGTGAAGAGCGTCCCAGACAGCTTCAGCGACAGCGGCACCAGAGTCAGCCGAGTAGGGGCAGCGCGGATGCATTTTACCTGCGGACTTCCCGGAAACGTCAACAGTAATGACAATGGGCATATGATCCCTGGCTTCGCCATTCAAGATGTCAAATTCAGGAAATTGGCGATACTGAGAGACCCGAGTGCCATGGGTAATAAGCAGGTGGTCCAAGCGTTGGGTCTTCCCGCCTGTGTGCTGCCAGGTCCAAGTGGGTCCAGTGCAGACCTCAGACCAAGTGCCAGGGGCAGCCAGCGCCGTATCATGAGCACAGGCCAGAAGGAGATCGTCGCCAAGCCTGGCGGGGCGGAGATTAAGAAGGTCGCCAACAAGGGTCTCTTCCTCATCACGGCCCGTAAAGTCAGCATTCGCATCAATACCTAGCAGAACAGTACCGCGATTGCAGGCAGGAAGAAGTTGCGTCTTGAGATCATGCCAAAACCGCCGAATCTCCGCGTCCGGCCTCTCAGCATGAGGTGCATGGGCTGCAACCAGAGTAACCGGGAGCTCAGCGCGTTGACACTGCACTAACAGAATTTTCGGGCTGGCAAAACGGATGCGGAAGTCGTCCAGACTCAAAGCAGGGTGCAGCAG